TTTTATTTTATTTTATTTTATTTTATTTTAGTTATTCAGATCAATTCAATATTAGTTGATTGTTCGTATAACAACACGTGTTCAGTATTGAATGGTATTTCATTCGGATATAAATCTTGATTTCAGTTTTATTTTATTTTTTTTTTTTTTTTTAGTTGCTCAGATTGATTTGATACCAGTTGTTTAAGACATAATGGCATTTCTGTTTTATATAGCTCCTGATTGTATTTTATTGTATTTTGTGGTGGTGGTACGAGTTTTATCACATTTTTATCTGGTGACACTTGAGTTGTAAAATTAATAGTTTAAAGAAGATTGTAATGGATCCTCGTCAGTGGACTTGCTCTCAAGTAATTCAATGGTTATCTTCTTTCAATAAAAATAAACAAGTTCTTGATGTTTTTACTAGTAAGTGGTCTTATGTCTTCACACAATTCTTATTTCTGCTCGCTTTGCGCCCAACGAAAGCCATACTATGAATTTGCTGAATTATTTAAGCACATACAATATGTGCATAATGGACAATTAGATTTTAAAGTTCGCTGTGAACTTGGGCCATTATGTGGAAGAATATATTCGACCTTTGCTGGTTATAAAAGCCATATTTATCGACAGCATGTGGATCTTCTTAATAAAGATTTAAATAGAAAGGAAGTACAAATAATTGCAGATACACATGATGATGAAATCTTATTGGCAACAAATTATGCTATAAAATCAGATTTTAATATACAAATATACGATGGAGAAAACGAAAAAGATGAGAGTGCAGAAGAAATAGACTATGAAGATACTATATGTTGGCCGTTGCTTACAGAAACAGTAGCTCGATCGTCAGAAAAAAAATAGATCTAGAATTCTTTGAAAAGTTTGACATGGACTTTTTGCTTAGTCTTAGAGAAGGACATTGTTTGCCGCAAAATATTATCCAGACGATTACATCTGGATTAAAATCTTTGATTGAACTAATTTATCAGTTGTTAAAAATGAAAAATCAAAAAACAACTATTAATTCAGCTATATATGATTCTATTTTATTGAGTGATGTCAATGAAGTTATCTCAAACATAACAGAAAGAATAACAGATATTACGAAAAATGAACATAGTTTTTTGAAACGATGTAAAAAATATTTTTCCTATACACCAGCTAAAGAAATAAAGTTAGAAAATCCTGATCAGATAGCATACTATATGCCAATACAGTGCAGTATTCAACAAATGTTAAAAAAACCTGATGTTTTAACTATGCTGATCAAAAATTTTAATGAAAATGTCAATCGTAATATCATGGATACAGATTTGATGTTCAGTTTTCGTCATCGATTACTTGGGAAACAACATACAGTATTGAAAAATAAACCTGATGCATTACTACTTCAACAATATATAGACGATATCGGCTTGACCAACCCAATAGGTGCCAAAAAAGACACTCAAAAATTTACTATGATATATTTTCAATTAGAATATTTACTTGATACGATAAAAGCAGTCTTAAATTCAATAGGAGTTGTTGCCATGTGTCATTCTAATTATTTAACTAACAAGTTAAATAGAAAAATGTTTTGATCCAATAGTTGAAGATTTGAATGCTTTGCAAATTGATGGAATTTTTATTCCAACTCTTCAGACTCATTTACATTTTGCATTTACAGTAGTAACTGGTGATCATTTAGCGTCGAATGATATAGGAGGGTTCCAGAAAATTTTCAATACTGGAGAATTCTGTAGACATTGTCACATAAATTATAATCAAAAACTTGTTCCTTTGAATGAAATTACTCATCGTCGTCGAATACAAGATTAACATAATAATTTTGTTCAACAAGTGACCAGTTTGAATAATAATGTAACCTTACATGATGTTGTCGGTACACGTCCATTAGTAAATCTGATAGGTTTTCATGCTGTAAGTTCTTTACCCAATGACCCTATGCACGATTTTAATGAGGGTATATAGAAAAAAAACTTTATTATTTTTAAAAATAAAATCTTTTGTCTCTTTAGGTGTTTGTGGTCAATTACTAATGGCTATGTTGAAAGAAGCTTCAACAAAAAGACTCCTTACATATGGTGACATTGAAAATCGATTGTTAGCGTTCGTATATGGTGATAATGATAAGCCCAACAAGCCACCAATTTTACGAAAGAAACATTTAAAAAAAGGGAAAATTGTTGGTACAGCATCACAGAAGATGCTATTTTTTAAGTTATTCCCTATCATCTTTTATGATTTGATTGACCAATTAGAAACAAAAGAGATTTACATATGTTTACGAGAGATTGTAAGTTTAGTTTTCGCTTGTCCATTTCGTAAATCTTGGTTGTCATATTTACATTCATTATGTATTCGTTTTCAATGTTTAATGGTTCATCTATTACCGCATATGGTGACTCCAAAGATACACTTTGTGACTGATTATGCAAAGCAGATCGAAATGAATGGTCCAGCTATCAGACATTGGTGCATGCGTTTTGAATCGAAGCATCAGATATTCAAACGACTTGCTGTGAAGTCTAATAATTTCAAAAATATTCTATATACATTATCGAAACGCAATCAATTACATCAATGTCTTCTTTTATCTTTTTCAAACTATTATACAATTGTTAATGAAGGTTATTCAGTATCTGAACGAGATTTATGCACATTACCAATTGATATTCGTAAATTATCAGAAAAACAAATTGGTCATTTTAATAATACGATAAAAATTATGGAATATCAACGATTGAAGTTCAACCATGTTATGTTAATTAAAGGATCTATATTTGTGGATAAGTTGATGCATGAGGAAGAGATACCCTCTTTTCTTCATCTATCATTCATATTTAAAATTAATACCACTTGGTTATTAATAGTTGAACAACTACAAACAATCAGTTTCAATGAGTCTTTATGGTCCTATGAACTTGAACATAGACATTTATTTTTCATCAAAGAGCCAGATGAACTTATTTGTATTTTACCAAAAGGGATTGACGTATATGAGATAGAAAAAAAATTTTATGTAAACGTTTTTTCGCGTCTTACTAAAGATAAACTATGTGCGTCATGAAAATAATACCCTGATAAAGATCATATAGCAGAAAAAATATCTCGCTGCATTATAAATGTAGCAATTAAAATGTGTTGCTCCTTTTATATTGTTGAGATGTTTGAATTGATACATTCTTTTCTTTTTTAGGCGAAGATATTGATGGTGAAACACTCTTTAATTTACCACAATCCATGATGTACGAAATAATTAAACCTATGAAAGATCGTGTACTTTTTTTAACTGAACATCGCAATTTATTTGATCAATCAAAATCTGAAAAATATAGTCATATTTCATCAGATGATCCTGTATTAGATTCTGCAACAACTTCAGATAGTATACATAAAGAAGTAATTATATCGTCAAAAGAAGATGAAAATAAAGAAAATGATGTGGATGATGAAGAACCGACATTACCATCTCCTTATATTATACTAGATTTACCATTAAGAATTCAACAAATTATTGATAAAGGTGAAATAGGTGAATTCCGTAGTCACACAAATGCACGTCGACTTTTACTTGATACAATTTTTAATGATGTGACAACCAAATATTCGCTGTTGTAAGTAATAAAGATTGTTTCTGCGATAAATATCAGTAGCTTTTTCTTTCATATTTAGGTATCCTACTAGAGATCATTACAGATTAATGGGCAAAGCAATACTAAAAAAATTAAACACTTCTAAAGATAATGAAGCATTGGTAAATAAGTTAATCTTTAAAATTATCAACATTAACATTTTTTGCTTTAAAAAGCAAATAGTAAAATATATGACTTGACTCATATTGAAGTATCATTAGATCCTAAATATACTTCAACAAATTTCATAGTATTATATATACGTTACGTATTTTATTGAATCTAGCTCTTAAATTATATACTGAGAAAATAGAAAAAGTTAAGTAGATGAAAATTATTTCATTTTATAAGTTTTATTGTTTGGTCAATGACTTACTTCATAATAAAATATTCAAGAATCTGTTATTGATATTCTGTGAACACAGAAGTAAATCTTTTCTTATAGAATGATTGGATTGAAAGTCTTAAAACCAAGTTTAAGAGAGAAGGTTGTCCGCTTCAACAAATATCTGTACAAGTACAGAAGATGAAAGCGATGTATGGAAATAGTGCTGGTCGTCCAATCAAACAAAGTGAGAATGTTATTGCACCTCGTCGAATAGTAAGTACTCAAAAAATGTTATTTAAAAAGAAATTGTAGAATAAAATTATTTTTATTTTTTTAACTTTAGCCTCCGGTTCAATTTTAGAATACAATAGATATTCATGATGATCCGGAAGATTTAAATAAAAGCATCTAGATTATGAAGAACGAATTGGTAGGTCTGAATATTGATTCGGATCTAGTTCGAATTTCACGGATGAAAATATTAGTTTAAAGAAGAAATTTCATTAGAGATCATACAACAAAATAAGTTCTTGACGAATATCCAGGTTATTGTTATGCTTCATTGGTATGCTCATCATTATCTTTTCTCACTCTCTATAATTTCTTTATTAAAATTGTTTTTTAAACATTTTCGACGAGATTCGCTATGTGTGTAATGTTGATATTGAAGAAAATTTGAAATCTATGTTGCCTAAATTACTTGATAGCATTCCAGATAATTCGGGTTTTGTGAACGGTGAGTGAATACGTTGACTGTTTATCTGTTTAATATCATTCAGTTATTCTTTAGATCTTCCAGCTGTACGTTTGATTAAACTTTTATCTAAGTATTTTACTGATTCATGGCAACAAATCATATCGAATAAAGTACGTAATAAATCTCTTTGAAAACTAAAATCATCACATAATCAACTGGCTAATTATGTCTATTGTTTATTTTTTTTAGAAAAAGAAAAGGCCACAGTTTTTTCTTTATCGTCAAGGAACCATTATCGCCACGACCAGCTATACAAATAACAACAGATCAATTTATTATTTTTCTCGATTATGAAGTTATTAGTGAAACATCATCAATGGAACAAGCTTTATGTATCATTGTTTCATTATATGTTATATTTGAATTACAATTTGGTATACACAATCGAATTATTTAATTGTTGTATAGTATTCTATTAAAACAATCTGGAGCGTTAACAAAACCACTACGTGTTTTATTGAATCAATAGAATTTTATTATTGATAAAAAAGAAGATGAAGAAGGTGGTCATATGGTGACAACGAAATCAACAAATTCTAAAACTCTTACAGCTACAGTCGATAGTTTGACACAAGTCGAAGATAATCAAACTGATGATTTACCAGATAGTGAAGAACAAGAGGAAATATATGTCGAAAGTACAACAGGTTTGCTTTCATTGTATAAGAAATAAAATGAATTATTTATATTGTATTATTAGGTAATAGTCAAGATCAAACAACAGCTACATATGTTGGTGATAAGGAACTGATGAATGAGTATTCATCAGGATCGTCAGATTCGTCTTCTTCCTTATCACCAATTGATCCTCCACTTGTTATTCACATTTCACCAAGAAAAGAACAACAAAAACAAATAGCATCTTCATCATCTTCGAACGACAATACATTATAAGAAGTAAATATCAAACAGCAAGTATCAGCAACATCAACTGATCGATCTTCGACTATCTCAAATAAAAAAAAATTGTCAAGCAAAAAAACGTCCTGCTAGTTCCGAAGAACCAATAGCATTACGTGTAAAACGTACACGGGTTAAAAGACAAATTACTAGAAATATTTATGTTCAATTTTTTATTTATATAAACACGCAAACTTTTCGTTGATTAATTATATCTATATTACGTTTATCAAACTTAAGTAGAAGCTGTTTCAATAAATATCTTCTCCTTTGTATTAAATTATATTCGGGCTTTTTACTCTTATCATCCATTCGTATTTTGTTCTCGAAAAAAAACTGATCTGATTAAATTTCGTCAATCCTCCGAAAAAATTTAGAAAATTATCATAAAGACAAGCAAAATATCGCATAAGTATTTTGAAATTTTCCAAAATATCTCAAAAGACTTTGTACATCCAGTTTTTAAATCAACAGCAAATTCAGCAGTATGTATTATTCTGAAATCTTTCAATACTTTTATATTTAGGTTGATCCAAAGAATAATTTTACAGATAAGTTGATATTTTAAATAATTTTATTGTTTTTCCATGTTTAGAACGGTCGAATAAATAATTTTATTGATCAATTATTATGTTAATATAAATTAACTCTTTTCTTTTACATTTAGATTGATCTGAAGAATGGATTTATAAATATTGAATCGCTTTAATATGAACTAATTCTATTTATTTAACATGATACAAAGAATAATTTAGTTCGTAAGCAGAATACTTCTATAAAACTAATTCTATTTTCTTTCATTTAGATGATCATAAACTCAACTTGACCACCGGGAATAATTCAAATGGTCTTCTTCTATACAGAGAAAAGCCAGGGAGGAGTGTATCTTTTTCTGTTGTATGGCACAATCATATGGAAAAATTAATAAATGATATTGCTTAATAAGCAATGCATACTTAAAATAACAGAAAAGCATATCTTATCCTGAGTTTACAAGAAGATTTTTTAAATCTTCAGAACCAAACGGTAGTTTGGCATCACAACTGCTTCAGACTAGATAATACAATAGGTGTTGATTACGGAACCCTTTTGTAGAAATGCAGATAATAGGTTCATACGAAACCTTTTCGTTCAATCTTCAAAAACAGACTTGTACGAAACCGTTTTTTATGCAGCTTTGACCATAGTATGGTACAGAATCCCGATCATACGAAATAAAAAAAGGTTTCGAATTAGTTGCAAACATCGAAATCTTTTTTTAGTTTCGTATAAACCCATTTTTGTTTACAATGTACACTCGATTCTTTTCTTGTTATCCTCTTCAATATCACTCACAAACCAAATTACCAACTATGGTATCTCGTTGTCAATAACAGCTAATTATACTACGAACGTACATACATCTTAATTATTTTGTATGAAGTACGAACATCGTCGATCCCCTTCATATCGACAACGAACACACTTATCTAATTTCAAAGCGAAAACTATTAAAGTTAATTCAAAGCAGCAAAATCTATACGTTTCCATTCATTTAAATACTTATTCACAAAAATATATTCACCGAGCACCGCTGAAACATAAGAAATTATATACCCTGCTTATCAATAATAATAATACAACGGACTTCCAATGGCAACATAAAAAATGAAAACAAAAGTCAACCAGACATGGAAATCATCTATGTGGATCCCGATGCACACAATCTCGACGAGTCCACCACTTCCTAACCACCTATTACCGCATAAACACCACACTCCAAAAAACTTATGTCGACCGTAATACGCAAATTCTGGCTGCGTTGTTAGATTCGTATTCATCGATACATACACCTTCTCCTTGGTTCGACAAGTTTATCTTCAGACATACACCAACATCGTCGATGGTTTCCTAGATTTGTGTTTATCTAAACAGACACCTCTACGCCAGACTGACATCTTATTTTCAGCCTCGGAGCCACATCTTCGACCACCTCAAACCACTGTTTTCATCACTCTAAACCAACAATCAATGCTTTCGTCGCTTATGTTCATTTACATAAATACAATCTCGCTCGTTCCACCCCTTCATGCTCATCCGTACACAGACAATATCGATGATTTAACCGATTCCAGTTTATCCATATATTTCTCATCTCCATGATTTAACGGGTTTCTCTTCATCAATATATTTTCCATCTCGATGGTTTAACGAATTTCTGTTGATCAATATATTTCTCATCTCACAAGTTTACCGCATTTTTCTTCACCGATCCTGACACGGTCTGGATAGTTTAATGGATTTCTGTTTATCAATATATTTCTCATCTCGTTGGTTTGACGGATTCCTGTTTATCGTTCAATATTTGTCATCTGGATCGTTTGACGAATTTTAGTTAATCGATATATTTCTCATGTGGGTGGTTTCAAAAATTCCACTCCATCGATAGATTTCTGATCTCAATAGTTCGACGGATTTCTCCTCATCGATACTTATCCGGTCTAGATAGTTTCAAGAATTTCTATTTATCTAACTATCTCTAATCTCGATGATTTAACGGATTCTTCTTCATCCATACTCAAACAATCTGGATGGTTTGAGGAATTTCTGTCCAGAAATATATCTTCGATCTCGATAATTTAACGGATTTCTCTTGACCGATACTCAAACAATCTTGACGGTTTAACGAATTTCTGTCCATGAATATATTTCGCATTTCGATAATTCAACAGATTTCTCTTGAACGATACTCAAACGATCTCGGTGATTCAACGAATTTCTGTCAATGCATATATATTGAATCTCGACGATTTAACCGATTTATCTGATTCGGTACTCAAACAATCTGGATCAGTTGAGGAAATTCTGTCGATCGATATATCTTCTACCTCGTTGATGTAATGGATTTCTCTTCATCGATACTGCAAAACTCTCAGCGGTTCATCGCATTTCTATCTATGGATGTATCTTTGATCTCTATCATACAACGGATATCGCATCACCTATACTCAAACAATAGTGACGATTGAACGAACTTTTCTTAATCGAAATACGAAAAAACGTGACGGTCTCACAGATTTCAGTCGATGCATATATCTTCGATATCGATGATCAAGCGGATTTCAGTTCATCAATATACCTACATCGCAATGACTTCACCTATTTTTGTTCATCAGTACACAAACAATGTAGATGATTTAACGGATATCTGTTCATCCAAACATATACATGTCGACGATTTACAGCATCTCTGTTCATCAATATACATACATACCGACGATTTAACGAATTTCGGTTTATCAGTATACATACATGTCGATCATTTAACGTATCCCTGTTCATCAGTACATATACATGTCGATGATTTAACGGATTTCTGTCAATGGATGTATCCTTGATTTCGATGATTCAGCGGATTTCTCGTCATGAACACTCAAACAATCTGCAAGATTTAGCGGATTGATGTCGATGGATATATCTTTGATCTCGATGATTCAACGGATTTCTCTTCATGAACACTCAAACAACCTGCAAGATTTAAGAGATTTCTCTTCATCGACACTGGAACAATCTGCAAGATTTAGCGGATTAATGCCGATGGATATATCTTTGATTTCGATGATTTAGCGGATTTCTTTTCATCAACACTCGAACAATCGCGATGATTTAACGCGTTTCTTTTATCCACATTGAAACAATTTGGTTGATTTAACTGGTTGCTCTTCGTCGATACTCTAACAATCTCGATGGGTCAATGGATTTCGGTTCATCGACCCCAGAAGAGTCGCGGTGTTTTAACAGGTTTTTGATCATGTATTGAGTTTGGTTTGCGATGGTTTGGCAGATTGATTGTAGTGGTATGCTGACGTTTGTGGTGGTTTGTTTGATTAGTGCTCAGCTCTTCACAGACATATATGGTGGTGCGACAGATTCATGTGGATTTGTATAATGACATTGTCAATGGTTTTAGAGTTTCATGTCTATCTTTATGGGTGCATTGTTTATGATATAATTGGTTTATGTGAACGTCTATGCGCCGAGTTTGTTTATTTGGTACGGGTTAATCGATTTTAATGGGTTCACTCTGCACTGTTTGATATATGTAAATAGGTTTTACTGAAGGAAGTTGGTTATTTTGTATTCGAAAATGAGGATTTGTGTGTTTTATTTAATAATAATTAGATAAGGAACTTACGACTACAAAAATACAAATTATGAAACCGAGTATGACTGTGGTTTGCGGCAGAGCATTCAAATTTCAATCAGTAAGCTTTTTATTGTAGAAGGAATGAAATCAATTTTTGATTCAGTTTTAGTGGTTTAAAGTTGAAAATTTGAATTGATATCAATTCAGATGTTTTTTGAAAACGAATCTGATTGAATCGATAAAATTTATCGCCGTGTGTGCTTGATGGAGGTGAAGATGATTGTTGAGAAATCGAAAGCGTCGACGAGTCATTATTAATTGAATGCAGTTATAGTATATGTGAGTCGTGTTTGTCAATGTGGAGAAAATCTGGATCTATTGTATTTAGTGAAAGTGCTGGATCGTGGTTCACTCTTTTGGTATCCGCCATCAATGGCAAAAGAATTTATTGTGTTGCGTGTGGAATTTTAGGCATGTATTACTTGATGAAGTATATGGAAACATTTTCTGTGATATCGGAGATGAGTAGTGGTTATATTCTGCTATCTCAAAGGAAATGGTTTATTTTCATTGTATTTATTTTAATGATATAGTTCACATCTATTTGTGTCATGCCGCGATCAATAACTGGTAATCATAGTATTATTACGATTAAATATGCATCTTCTTTTATAAAATAGAGGCAATATTCAACTCATTTTATTTGGTGATTACGGTCGATTTATTTCAGTTCTTTCAATTTCGCGACGGTGCTGGGTTGAATATTGATTCCGTCTTCATCCTCAACTCTGAGATATGCGTAAATCGATCGTCACAAGCAGAGTCAATCTAACGGCCTTAAGTTGTTTCAGTTTTTGACTTTTTTTAGGTGGATTTCTTGTGCAAGAAACGAATTTAGTGTTATGCTTTATTTTGCTGATTTATTTGTTTATTGATTACATGCTTGGATTATCGCAATAAGATAAGTAAGTATGATTTATCATTTATATTTTATTTATTTTATCATTTTAGGCATTATGTTCATACTATAATTTTGGTGAATATCAGTGGTTCATTTTAATTCTATGTGTATGGTTTTGATTCGTCTTTACTAAACAGACAATGTCAGTACCATGTTTTCCTTTGGATTACAGTTATCTTTTTATCTAATTAAAGTATTATCTCCATTGAAGAAGCTCTTGAGGCTAGTCTGAATGCTACCAAGCGGGTCCACAGGTCGCGGATAGTGGAACGGCCATTAGTAAGATGGTTAACTGCGAATAAGAACAAGTAATCATTCGAATAAGCAGTCCCGGACAATCCAGACATCTTGTCAACAGGGTGTGGTGAGGTTTTGGATGGCATCAAAACAGCTATAAAATGTGACGGACACCCAAAGACGACAAGATAACAAGGCGAATATAGGCCGCCAGAAGTAAGGTTCCCCTCGAACTAAGTTGCATAAGCCTTAGCCAAATGGAGTAAATCAGTTCAATCCATTGGAAGGCAAGGGAAAACACCGTTGTTCACTCCCAAGCACAATATGATTAAAGTCAAGATTTCCAGTCAAAATAACAGCGTGAATGGGGTTCTCAAAGAGAACATCTCGCTCGGTAGAGATGATCATGTACGGCAAGTGACACTCGATCGTCAACAGGCTACTGTTCGCACCAAGAACTCACTCAAAATAGGAACATGGAATGTAAGATCTATGTTCCAAACAGGAAAATTGAAAAATGCAAAGGCTACAGGTCAATGTGTTAGTTCTATCTGAAGTCAGATGGATGGGTGCCGGATCCTTTATAACAGATAACTTTACTTTATTCTACTCTGGAGAAGATCAACATGAAATAGGAGTAGGCATACTTCTTATCAAAGAAATCTCCAAGAGTTTGAAAAGCTTTTAGAACAGCTGACTATGATGAAGGTATAATCATGAATTTTTACGAAGATCTAGACAAAGTTTACAAACAATGCAGCTCAGATGATATCATCTATGTAATGGGCGACTTCAATGCAAAAGTGAGAAATGAAAGAATTGGCAATACAGTAGGATCTTTTGGTCTAGGAAACAAAAATGATAGAGGAGATAATCTCATAACCTGGTGCCAACAACATAACCTCACCATTACAAACACATGGTTCAGAAATCACACATGTGGGCTATGGATATAGCGAAGCCTCGGAGACCGAGCTAAAAATCAAATAGACTACATTATAGTCTCTCATCGATTCCGGAATTCGATCATGTCCCAGTTATTAGTGAAATTTGTGTAAAATTAAAATGATTGAAGTAGCCACAGTAAAATCTAAAGCTTCAAGTTCACATTCTCAAACTGATCCGAAGTTGAAAGAAAAATTCTGTATCAAGGTACAGAACCGATTTGAAGCATTAAATGAAATATTATGGGAACCGATGAAATCCTTTATCCTAGCATTTGTTCCAAAAGATAAATTCAATTCTGAAAAATAGAACCATAGCGATCAACACTAAAACAAGAGTCCTCAAATGTTACGTGTGGTCAGTTCTCTTATATGGATCTGAATGTTGGACAATCAATAAAGAAATGGGAAAACGTTTGGAGACTACCAAGATGTGGTTCTTAAGAAGGATGCTGAATGTATCTTCGATGGCAAAAGAAAACAACGAATCAATACTAAGAATACTATTCGATATAGACAACTGAAATTCCTGGATCATATAATCTGTAAAGGTTGCTTGGAACATCTGGTATTAAATGAGGAAATCAATGAGAAGAAAGGCTAAGGTCGATCAAGATTTCATGGTTCCAATCAGAGTTTCCAATAGCAGTTGTACACAGCATTAGCAAAATGTGCTATACAACTGCAATTTTTTATTTACATTCTGATTTACAACTTAATTCTAAAATGTCAGAAGCAGTAGATGGTAGTGTATTGCGAGCCGCAGTACACACTTTGTCTCGTATTTTTTTTTGTAAATGAATATGTCAGATTACGAAATGATATACTTATTTATTACTCATATGTTAGTCATTTAGCAAGTATTTATTTAAAATACTCATGAAGAAAGTAGAATTATTTCTGTTTTTTACATTGGAAAAACGTCATAAGTACACTTTGTACACTTACGTTTTATCTACATAAGCAAAGCGTACCAATACGTTTTGTTTGAGCTTTCGATTGAAAACTCTTGTCTCAACAGCTTATTCTACAATGCTGCTGCTCGACTATCCTATCATTTTAATCTACAAGGCCCTAACGCATCATTGGATGTTGCTTGTTCATCGTCGTTGGAGACTGTACATTTAGCTGTGCAAAGTCTTCACACCAATGAAGCAGATATGGCTATATGTGGTGGAGTGAATGCTGTGTATTCATCAGAGACTCTTTTATATGGTTCGATTATGGGTGCTATATCAGCTGACGGACGAAGTCGATCGTTTAGTGCTGATGGAAATGGTTATGCTAAAGGTAAACAACACATTTATATACATTCATCAACACTCTTGAGCCTTATGTTTAGGTGATGGTCTTGGTCTTCTACTATTGAAACGACTGAGTGATGCCGAACGTGATAATGATCGTATATATTGTGTTCTTCGTGATGTACTTAGTAATCATGGTGGAAGCGAAGATAAGAACAGTTTTGTTGTTCCCTCAACTGCCGGTCAAGCACGTTTACTCAATGATATTTACAAGCGAGCAGACTTTGATCCTCGACGTGTTTTTTATGTCGAAGCACACGGCACTGGTACACCGATAGGTGATCCTATCGAAGCTAATTGTTTAGGTCAATTTTTCAATCGATCTTGTTTTGATCCGCCATTATTAATTGGTTCCGTTAAAAGTAACTTAGGACACACAGAAGGAACAGCTGGCATTGCTGGATTAATTAAGATTGCTATGTGTATGCATCATCGAAGTATTCCACCAAATATGCACTTCACATCATTGAATCCAAATATTGAAGCACAACGATATAATCTTCATGTTGTCCAACATTCCGTGCTATTTCCTGTTGGCAATGCTACTGATTCCATAGCTATGGGTATCAATTCATTTGGCATCGGAGGCAACAATGTACATGCTATTGTTGAAGAATATAACCCAAGTAAAACTTCAGCTATGAACAGATCTGAAAATAATATGGAGAGCAAACAATATTTTATCTTTATCTTCTCAAGTGAGTTACATAAACATACATTTTATGATCAAATAGTATACTAACATTTTTTCTTTCAGCAAAAAGTCGTAAATCTCTAAACCATCAAGTAGCTCAATTCAATCAATGGTTACAAAAGACATCAATAACTGATATGAACAATAATTATGCATTTCTTCAACGCATCTCGCAATAACTTCTTCTAAAGCGTACTATTAGTCATGCACACCTAGCCATCTTCGTATTTGCTGATATTAAACAAATTCAAGAACAAATCAACGCCTTTCTCGTTCAAGAGTCATTACCCGGTCTTTCTATATCCATGCGTCCAACAATATCACTAGCAAAGATATGTTTCGTTTTTAGTGGACAAGGTCCTCAATGATGGGCTATGGGTCGACAATTGTATGAAAGTGAACCTGTTTTTACTCGATGGATTCAACTGATCGATGCTGAAATGACAAAGATTAACAATGGTGAATGGCGTCTGCTGGAAGAATTAATTGACAAAAAAAGTGAACACGAATCTCGCATCAATGATACAAATATTGCTCAACCAGCTTTGTTCGCTATTCAAGTTGGACTGGCTGCTTTACTTGTCTCATGGAATATTTATCCTTCGACAATCGTCTCACATAGTGCTGGAGATCAGGCAGCTGCTTTTGTTGGCGGTCGTCTCACTTTGCAAGAAGCTGTTCGTATTGTTTATCATCGATCACGTCTTCACAATCGTAATACACGACAAGGTGGTCGTATGTTAGCTGTATCCATGAGTGAAGAAGAAGTACAAAATAAACTTCTCAAGGGTATTTAACATCTTGTTTGTATTGCTGTTGTTAACAGTCCTCGTTCAGTTACATTAAGTGGTGATGAAAAGATTATTGATGAATTGCTACAGACACTCTCAACATTCTATCCCAATGTTTTCAAAGCTCGTCTTCGTATTGAAAATGCATTTCATTCGTATCAGATGGATCGATTCGACACAGAAAAAGAGATGTTATCGTCGTTTAAAGATATTCAAGGACTTCCTCTAAAAGACTCTCAACAAATGTTCAATCCAAAATGTGCTAAAGCTCATCTTTATTCAAGTGTAACTGGTAGTAAACTAAGTGATCAAATACCAGTTGATGCCCATTATTGGTGGTCAAATGTGAGACAATGTGTTCGATTTCATGATGCTATAGCATCAATTCAACAACATGATACTCCAACTGTTTTTCTTGAACTTTCACCACATCCAGTTTTGGCTACATCTATTGGAGAATGTTATCAATCGATAACTAGTCAACCACTGATTCTTTCAACATTGAAACGAAAACAAAATGAACAAATAACATTACTTACTAGTCTCACACAACTAACAACATCGTCCCATGTTTGGCAACAATATTTTCAAACTCGAGATATATTACCGGTGATAGATAATGAGCAACTATTTGATGATTTTCCATTGTATGCATTTGATCTTAGTTCATGTTGGTATGAATCAAAAGATTCAGTTATTACACGTTTGGCAAATCGTATTCCGATTCATCCTCTACTTGGTGTCCGTCAATTAACAGGACAAACAAGTGCTACGTGGAAGAGTCTTCTCAATGTTAATCTACCACAATATGCTTACTTGAAAGATCACAAAATTCAAGATGCAATTATGTTTCCTGCTGCTGCTTCTCTTGAACTAGTAACAGCTGCATATCATCAATTATTTCTATCATCAGATAACAAACAATCTTCACTTGTTTTGAAAGAAATTAAATTTGTCAAAGCTCTTACTCTTAGTGAACATGAGTTAACAGAAGTGTTCACACAAATTATCATCCCAGTTCGCGAATGGTTTGTCTACAGTCGACCATGGACGTCAGCTGGTTCAGGTTGTATGCGTTCATCAGGCATGGCAAGTGTTGATGTTGTCGATTCTTTTACCGATCCTCAAACTCTCAATCAACATTCATTACGTGAATTCACTCTACATGCTCATGGTCATATTGAAATGGATAGCGTTCAACATAAATTAACAACATTACTTTCTACCAATCTAACTTACAATACCTGGTCTACGACTGATACAACCAGTATTTATACTCATTTATCATCACGAGGTTATCAATATGGACCTTCTTTTCAAAACATACAATCATTATGCGGCACGACATCAACAATTATTGCTCAAATTCATGGCAATCTCGATTCAATTATTGATCTCTCTTCTTATCATTTGCTTCATCCAACTATATTGAATACTTTTTTGCAGCCACCTGTAGTTTTGTTACCAGGTACCGATACTACATTCCTTCCGGTTAGTATCCACAAATTTGTTGCTACGAGCAAAGTAAACACATCTCATTCAAATGTTGAAATGCGTGCAAAATACCATGATGTCGTTTGTGGCTTAAGTCAAGAGCGAACATATAAGGTCGACATATTGATTATACCAGGTGGCACTACGACAATCGACGAACCGATGATCACTTTCGAAGGACTTGTAATTCAACAAGTTCAAGGTGTACAATCTGGTCGATGGGCATTAGAGAAGTCCATTTTTGACAAATTAAATGCAGCTGCTGATTTGCCTAACGTAAATCGAGATGAACAATTAGACGAAATTATAAATGACTATTGCATGGAAAGAATATGGATGGATTCACCAATAATAGCAAGTATAGCTGACTTACTTCCATCGCTCGATCAAATTTGTAATGGTGGAGCCGATGTTGTTAGTAATCAAGATTTGATTGACTCAATTGAACCTTTCAACGAATTAGGTGCATGTTATGCTCAGTTATCAATAAAAGATCTCGATCTAAATCTTGTCGATAATCAGCATCGTCCTTTATTAAATGCATGCCACTCTCTTATTACTCTTTTACATGAACCAATAACATTACATTCTACACAACTTCGTCTTAGACAGTTATTTGATCGTTTTCCTCGTCTTAAATCAATTTTGACCTTATTAGATACATATGGCTCGCGCCCGAAAGACGTTTTTACTGGACAACAGAATGGTTTAGATGTATTCTTAGGAAGCAACGAAACTGAACGAGCATTACAAGATATAAAAACTATTATGAGTGCACATAAAACAGAGCAAATATTTCATGCAATATGTAAACATCTTCATATCTTAAACGATCAGAGTAGCCATGAATCACTTAGCGATCGACGATTACGTATATTTTGGTTTGCTAGTGGCGAACACTTAGACGTTTTACCTATTCTTCACCTTTTACTTAATTTATCACGTCAAACAAGTTTATGGATTGATTTACATTATGCGGATATGGATCCAGTGCAACTCGCACAAGCAGAACAGCTATTTCAGACACATTTGGCTGATCAAACTCATTTAAATATAATATACGATCAAACAATTGACTTGTTTAACAATGAAATCGTTGAAAAAGTTCCATTCGAATCGTTTGATATTGTGTTTGCTGCAAATAAATTACAGGAAAGTGAAGATTTGATGAGATCGTTAATTAATCTTCGTCATCTACTTGTTCCCAATGGTCTTCTTTTATTACTTGAATTAACTGATGTTCCTCTCTATTTTGATCTTATCTTTGGTTTACTCGAACATTGGTGGTTACCATCTAGTAATACACATGCTCTTCGAGATATTCATCAATGGACTACAGCTTTAACAGAAATTGATGGATTTGAAGATGTTGAGACAGTGATGAGTCAATATGAAAGTACATTAATTATCGCTCGCAAGACAATATCTCATGATGTGCTACAGACACTCGATGAAAGAAAACATCAAGCATGGTTATTCTTTGGCAAAAACGATTCTGAAAGTCTTGGTCATAACCTCATATCGCTTTTGCCATGTTCAAACATTCGACTTTTGGATATGTGTTCCTCAGCGATTGACAAAATTCGTGCTGTACTTGAAATAATGATGGGTAGCTATAAACAACTATATATTGCTTTTGCTTGGCCATTTGAGCAAACTTACCTAAGTGGCAATAGCGATTTGGCATTTAAACAATACGAAAAATCTATTTGTGGCATATTCATCCAAGTTATGCAAATAATTCACGCAATATCACCTACTTTTCTCCCATTTATGTTTGTTATCACAAGACATGCGCAGTTAAATACCGGTTCCGACTGCAATATAATTGAATCACCACTTATTGGTCTTGTACGAAGTTTAATGGTTGAATATGAACAACATCGACTGAAGCTCATTGATCTACAAGCATCACCGACAATGATTAACGAATCACCACTTGCTTATGCTTTGGCACAATATATGGTAACTTCTCGATGTACAAACAATACTGATGAAATTGTTCTTCATCTTGACACAAATGAAAAGAAAGTCAAACACATCACATGGTATTATGAAATGTTGCAAACACATGACAAAAAAGAAGATCAATCAAAACTAAAACAAATTTGTATTATTCCTCAACAAGATGCTAATCGACAACCATTCCGTCTTCGTGTGCCTCCATCTCGGTTTCTCACGGAATTAACATGGACTCCCGACAATAGAACAAAAGAATTACTACCGGGCATGGTAGAAGTTCAAATTCATTGTGTTGGTATTAATTTTCGTGACGTATTGAAAGCACGAGGTCTATATCCACATACTCGTACGTTTGCACAACTCGATCAAGATCAACCACATGTTAATCGAGATACAGCGCCTGGTTCAGATTTTGTTGGTATTATTCTACGTGCATGTCCTACAACAAAGTTTCAACCAGGTGATCATGTCGTTGGCATCTCTTCACGTGGTGTATTCCATTCACATGTCACTGTCGACTCAACACAAGTGGTATGTATTCCATCCGAGTGTCCTCTTACTGATGAACAATTATCAACAATGCCCGTCATATGTCTCACAGTCATCTATTCTCTCAAATATCGTGTTCATTTGCGACGTCATCAAACTGTTCTTATTCATGCTGCAACAGGTGGTGCTGGTCAAATTTGTATACAATATTGCCAACATATTGGTGCTCGTGTTTTGGCTACAGCTGGAACTGAGGAAAAGCGACAGTTTTTACGTGAACACTATGGTATCGAACATGTATGTAATAGTCGAGATACTTCTTTTGTTAGTGGTGTGAGAAGTATTCTACGTCATGGTGTCGATGTTGTCATTAATTCTTTATCAGGTATTCTTCTACAAGAATCCATTAAGTTACTTGCTGATCATGGTAATTTTGTTGAATGGGGAAAACGAGATGTTTTTGACAAGACTCAATTGTCTATGTTTGACTTTCGATCGGATTGTAGTTTTCATGTCATTGATTTAATTTTAATCCTTGAAAAACACCCAGACATTTACAAACCCATACTTCAAGAAATGATTGATTTACTTATTCAAGGCAAATTAAAAGCAATCGAACCTACAGTTGTGTATGAACCATCTCAAGTGATTGATGCATTTATGAGATGTAATAGTGGTCAAGCTATGGGCAAAGCTGTTGTTCGCCTAACCAATTCTAATGAACCACTCAGTTTGAACAGCGTACATCATAATGATTTACCCGAAGGTAACTTTTACTAATTTGTCATTATGATTTTAATGAATGTAAATTTAGATAATAATATTATGTTTCCTCCGATCGTTTGCCAACAAGGAACAATTTTGATTTCTGGTGGATTTGGTGGTCTTGGATTGACAATGTCTCGATGGATGATAGAGAAACGAGGTGTAGAACGTATTATTCTTATGAGTCGTCGAACACTAGCTGCACTTGAACAATCTTCAAATCCGCAATATGACGATTGGTTACGATTGAAACAAACAATAAATGAATATCAAGCTCACGTTGATGTTGTTCAAGCAGACGTGACAAAATTTGATCAAGCATATGATCTGGTAGAGAAATTAAGTCGAACCTCTTATCCTGTTCGAGGAGTTATTCACAGTGCTGTGGTTGCAGAAGACCGAACTTTGGCTAAAATGACACAAGAATATTTAACACATGTTTTAGCAGCAAAAGTTCGTGGTGCTTGGATTCTTCATCAAGTAACAAAGCTCACTCATACTCCTCTTCACTTTTTCCTCATGTTCTCGTCAAATCGAAATCATCTACTTGAAGTGGCATCGTCCGGTTACAATGCTGGTAATCAATTTCTCGATGCTCTTGCTTACTATCGTATGACTCAACTAAGTTTACCTGCTCTCTCCGTTGGCTTGCCTGCTGTAAGTGGTGCAGGCATGTTTCATCGACAACGAGATATGCTTAGTACTTTACAAAGTACACATGGTTTTGAAGTCTTGCCACCAATAGCTGTATTCGAGTTGATCGAACGCTTCCATGCAAATCAGAAGACTTGCCCATGTCCTGTTATTTTTGCTGTTAATTGGCAAATACTATATGAAAGACGTCACAAATTACCGATATTTCAATTGAATAAAATAGTAAAAGAACGCTATACTACTATGAAACTCGCAAATATATCAACAGCATCAACTGAAATAAATAGTACAACTACTTCAAACTTGAATCGAAAATCAACTATTGTTGAACGAATTCAGATGGCTGTAGCTCGTCTTCTGGGCTCAACCGATATTGAGCGTATTTTAGTTGATCGTTCATTGGTTAGTCAAGGTATGGACTCATTAGCAGCTGTTTCACTCTATAATTGGTTAGGACAAGAGACCAGTGTTTATATACCATTAGTTGCTCTACTTCAAGGATATTCTATTGAAACTATTGCAACAATAATTCATAATAAACTCAATGAACGACATCAAGTTGTATCGTCGACTAATAAAGACGAGAACATGGATACTGGTCTAATCGAAGAAAATGAAATAAAACTACCTCATAACTCTAATTATACTGGTATAGAGAATATCATCTGTCTTCAAGATCCTCAACAGTGCAATAGTCATGTTTTCTTCTGTATTACAGCACAGTCACCAACCAATACTGATAACTTGAATAAATTATTCATTGACAAAATATATAAACAACAAAGTCAAACAACATCAGTTGTCATTTAGGCTATCCAAATATCATCAATAACATCAACAGCATCAATATCTACTTATGCTCGTGATATGATTTTGCAAATGCGTCGTATTCAACCACGTGGACCTTATCAATTAGTGGCTGTCCGCAACAAACAGGAAGAAATCATTGCACATGAAATGATAAGACAACTTAAAGATCATCTAATGATTATCGATATACGATTACTTCTTTTGGATGATTAGAATCAAGAATAATAGTAACATCAGTACTCTCCGGACACTAATGGTGGGGTCAGTTTACATTCGATTTTTTATTTACTAATTCTAATATTTATCAGATATCATACTATAGAAATACTTGTAGAATTCTTAATCATTAAAATTAAAATACTGAAATTCAAAAGTGAGAGTTATACATCTCAGTACTTCAGCACTAGTATCTATTGTAGAAAGAAATTAATAGTTTTACATACGCTTTTTTTTCAAACAAGCCAGCTACTGTTTTTTTTGAACAACAGACCTTATCTATTTTACGGTGAATTGTCAGAGACAATTATTCATCTTTGAAGAACTTTACATGCAGCAGCCAAAACAATTTAATAGCAGCTATACTCTTTAACATATAGAGTCGATCAAAAGTTACGTAATACCAAATGTTTTTCAATTTTTTTTTATATATCATTAGTTAGATCTCATATTTATATTACAAGTATTATATATAGATAGTATAACTCTAAAACGTGACATATGATGAATATCGAGTTTTGGTAATTTGGCCAAAAGCGAATAAATCCACAAAGATCAAAATTAGGGTTACAAGCCTGAGTGAATCTATCTAAACGTCTGTTACAGCAATAAACACATTGAAAAAAATTTATAAGTCACTTTGTTGTCGAAAATACTTGACAAATACGTATCAATCAATGTATGCTTGATTTTTTAGTTTTGTCTGCCTTATGAATGGTGTTCGAGATCAAAAGCAATTTGACAGTTGGACGCGTGCTCTAGTAATTTTAATCATATTTCTAACTTAGTAGCACTGATTGATGTCAATTATTAGTTGTTGAAACTTGTGTATAATTGTATCATCGAATATGATAGAATACAAAATTTCCTAGTAGATGATGTATTTTAAAGCTATTGCTTCCTAAGACATACGATAATTCTGATAACTATTTTGGAGAATAGTGTAGTATGTAACGCTAGCGATCAGAATCATCCTATGAATCTACAAATTCAACAGTTTAGAAATACAGCATTTTTCAACGAATTTTATGTTCTATCATATCTTGTGATAAAAATGTACGTAAGATTACGACAGTTGCCTTGCATAGTAATATTAACTAGTGCTGCTGCATAAAAAAATGTATCGATTTTAGTGAAAGCATCTTTAGTTTATACTCAAAATAAGTTAGATAATATAATTTTTGATCTGAATTTTACATCATTAAACTAGCAAGAATTCAGCTTTTGTCTGAATAGTCAATAAGTAATCTTATTTATTCGGCGTTTAAACGTGAAAAATAAAACTGGATAGCGCGTTTTTGCTAATCCAATGAACTCTTCATAGTGAACATACTGAGTTTTTCCCTGTTACACACTTTGTTCCAAAATTAGACAGTGTTCAGTTCAATTGAGCATAATAAAGAGAAACATGTTTAGTATTCGTTTCAAACTATTTTTCTGAACGATGGAAAAAATAATAAAACGCTGCTGATGATGATACAGATATTTGAACTGTACAATGTTTTTATATGCAGCTACTATTCACAGGTACATGACTAATATATTAATATTGTTGTTGTTGTTAAAAAATTTTACCACTCTAACATTATTAAATATGCAATAGTCCACTGTAAAATGTTCCATAGAAGATTATCAATGTCATTATAGTTATAGAGAACAATACCTGAGACATCTGTTTATCGTAGAGGAAATGTACTTTAATTATCAAACTAATTAACTCACGAAAGGATAGATCAAAAACGTGTATTGAATAAAACTCATGATGAGAATGATAGTGAAGATATTATAGGATTTTATTCTTAAAGATTTTTATAGATATTCCGTGAAATAATTGTCATTGAATTTAGTACACTCTGATAGAATAGGTTAAACTTTGAGAGCTTAAATAAATATCTTCTGTATCACTTGCATTAGACTGAGTAGTCTGTTATATTTCTTCACTTTGAATGCCAACATTACCATATTTTGAGTTTTAATTTTAATCAGATATATATTTGGTTATAAAATTCTAAGAGTAAGCCATGATTACGATTTATTCTAAAAAAAATCTTCTGGAATACTTGTTACTTATGAAAATAATCAGAAGTATTTTCACTCTATTCGCTCATTTTGATTAAGAAAGATCAAAATATCGAGCTCTGCATGCATTGTAATACTATACTGTATCGTAATTTCTCTATGTGTCGTTTAATTCACCGATGAAAATTCAGTATTTTGATGATCGAGAAAGACATTAACTATTCGATAATTCTACAGATATTACTATAAGATGATACTGATTTTAACCAAGCTCTTCTGTAAATATTTACTAATATTTACAAACTAACATTGTTTTTTGCTGGTTACCCAATATAATATCACGTTATCTTAGTTCGTTTTCTTGTGTAATTGTGAAATATTATAACGTGATAGCCCATCGAATCCCTATATGAACGATAGAAACTGAGGTTTCAGTTTTCTAATTGCAATAATAAATAACGAATTTAATGATGTTGAACTATTTTCTGAGATGTTCAAACTCATGTTTTCTTTTTGTTTATCTTTTTATAATTTCTAGACTGTAAGCAGCCTTTTGCATTAGACATACATATTTTTGTGGTTGTTTTTTTTGCAAAAAATGTTTCGAACAAAGAAATCAAATACAACGACCACTGACTATAGACTGCAACGACTGAAGATTTCTGGTCGAACAGAAGCTGTAGCTTCATCTGCTCAACAACGTATTTACATGCATGAAAATCTTTATTTTAGCACCTCCGATTTTTCTATCTACAATACTATGATTCCGTTGCAGATCAAACAGGGTTCAGTGTCAATAGAACATATTCGTTTATCCTTAATTTCAGTAATTCAGCAGCATACAATTCTTCGCACTTCCATTCGTTTCAATCCGATACGTAATGAAATCGAGCAAAAAATTCAACCACTTACCGAGGATATCTATTCCTTTCAACATTCCCGAGGTGTTTCCACATTGGAACAACTTGATCGTCTACTCACGAACGAATCAATTGGAAAATATTTCGATATTGAAAACGGAAAAATTGTACGATGTCATGTAGTGCAACGGTCTGCTGTATGTAATGATGATTCACTACACGAAGGTGATCTTATTATTTTTGTGATTCACCACATCGCATTTGATCTCAGCTCATACAAACCATTTCTAAAAGCCTTAGAGCGAGCATGCTTGAAGAATGAATATAAGCAATCCGCATTAACAATTCCACAATACATTGATTTTGCATTGTACGAACAAGCGCTGCTTGTCGATACAAGCCCGGAGTCAAAAATGAACAAGGCTCATCGCTTTTGGGCTAATCTTATGCATGGATACGACTGGGATAAAATACGATATCTGGCACCCGATGAAGATCGAATTGATCGACATCATTCTGGTCGTGGTTATTCGACTGCATTTGCTATCAATCAAGATATTGTCGATGCAATGATGTTATTTGCTTCAACCAACAATGTAACAATGTTTTCACTGTCTCTTGCCTGTTACTATGCATTCTTATTTAAATTAACCAATCATGATGATGACTTGTGTGTAGTAAGCAGCGCAGCTAATCGACCTGAGAAAGAGTTACAAGATATGATTGGTATGTTTGTCAATCTTCTATTATACAGAATCAAAATTGAACCGAATAATACATTTGAACGCCTTGTGCAACAAGTACAACAGCTAAGCAATGAAATTCTCGTGCATGCTTCTTTACCTTATCAACAGATTATTGATTCCCAAGGCAAACGAGAAAATAATATATTACCTTCAATGTTTTTCCAGTATGAACCTTTAATATTATCAGTGACACAAAAAAACTCAATCGAATTAACTGTGAGCGAAGGTTCGGTTGTAAGTGGTTACTATGATAGAGATCTAAATCACCAGAACAGTATATCACTATTCGATATGTCTCTTACAATCATCCATGACCATCATACACCAAGTACAGAATGCTTTCTAAATTGTTCGGCAGATATATTTAAACATCAAGATGATGTCGATCAACTATCAAAGCATTTCCAACATATTCTTACGCAACTCTTTTCGTTTCCGGTTCTTCAAGAATCTATTCACAAACTAACTCTCCATCTTCCCGCTGAACAAATATCAATGCCAGATCCAAACAATACACAGATACTTTCGTCTGATTCAAGTACATACACGATTCCTAAAAGTTCGTCGGAATTAGCCGAATTTTATCGATTGGACAACATCGTGAATGAAGGTATGATTGTATGTAGCATGTTCTATTCTTTTGAAAAGTAGTGGTCAGTTAAATTCTTAATGGGAAATATGCATTAAAGTGCATTGCAATGTACAGACATACTATTTTCAGTATTTAAATAAATTCTAACAAAATAAATAGCGAGAAAATAGGAATTCAAATGAATATTGATTGTCAATGACTCATTTTGTCGATTTTAAATGCTCTATTTTTAAAACTTTTAGCGAAAGATCTTCTGAAGACATTAAAAGTAAGTTCTAACTTCGAGTCCCAAAAGAGCTGAAGTTGGACTTTTCGAAAAATCTTTCGCGAGGGAAATCAAAGCTAATTTGCGAAGATCTCTGATGAATATATGCTTTGAATATGTAAATAGTCTTACATTTTTGTATTAATCAACAAGAATAACACTTGCTAATGCTCGAAAGTTGTATATTTCGTTTTAAGAAACAGAACAACTATGATAGTAGTATCTTTCATAAGCCTGCTTGTGTATAAACTGTTACTCTCTCAAAACTAAAATACCCTTGTAGAATTCATGCCAAAAAGCAAACCACACTTAAATTATCCATACCGTTAAACAGAGTCGGTAAAATCCAGGCTTTGTCATTGGCGAGACTAGTCGTTTTTGACTTCTAAGTAATGTAAACGTTAAGCATGTGACAGATCACTAGTTATCGATAACAAAATTCTGTGATTTTGGGACGTTAGAACTGAAATCGTAGTGAAAAGGTAAAAAAATCATGTAATCGGACTTAGAATTGTAGGGAAAAAACTTTCCGTAGTTATGGTCTAGTTGTGTGATCAAAACAAAATCTACACGATATAATTCTTTTGCTACTAAATATTTGTTTGCTTTTGTTTACTTTCGACGTTATATATAAAGCTAGTCCAAAGATATTTTTGTTGTTTTCACTGATTAGATGCATGTGTGTAGATTGTAAAAATTGTCAAACATTGGCAATTTATAACTCTTAGAAATTATTTAGATATCTATCAAATCACTCTATGATGCCATAAAGGATGGCACATTTACATATTATAGTTGAAGCTTTTGTTATGCATATTCCTGTTGATTATACACCTTATTTCATATGAATATTTTATTCAGATTATTCTCTAATATAGCTGCAGAGATT